GCCACTGTCTTATGTCCCAATATGGTTGGCCCTGCCTTTGTTTTAGGAATAGTGCATTACACTTGTTTATATTCTTTAGGTTTCAAAGTTCAATATTTTGCTTTATATCTGAAGTTACTGTAATTTTTATATTTTACAAAAAAAGTGAATTCTCTAGAAGTCAGGTGAGTTCAAGTTTTAAATGTGTATACTTACTGATAAACACCATTATATACAAGAAACTGAGTGATTAGAGTGGCTAGAAAGGCTATTGTAATTCCAAGACCAAGACCACTTCTTGAACGATCAAATGTCCACCAAAGACCCAATGACAATGCTGCTAGAGTCAAGGAGAGCTGAACGTTATTTGCAAAATCCAGTTTCTGATAAGAAAGTTAAGGACAATTCCTTAAAGACTTTAGCTACAGAAACAGGTTTCAGACAAAACTTTAATACCTCACGTAGACATCAAGAAATGGAAGTTGACAGTTTAAGAATGATCACTAATTCTGGATGCCCAATGAGAGACCTTGGAGCTCATTTTCAGAGAGCCTATTGACTTTTAGTTGGAGTTGTGAGCACTTAACCATGAAGATCAGGCCAAGGCTGCTCATACCAAGTACCCAAAGATTAAGGAATCCCAATTTTTAAAGTTTTGGGCTATAAAACCAAGACTTTCCCACCTTTCTGTGGATTTAAGTTTTCTGCAGGAATAGTAGCTATTCTAAGAATTTCAGTACAATAAGCATCCAGCCAGGAAAGTGACTACTAGTAACTTCTGAGATTGCTGTTTGCATGGGTGAGAAACCCATCTTTATTGACCATTTTAGTAGCAAAAAGGTCATATTTTTAAGTTTAACAGTTGCCTCAGTTCAGTTGGCATGAACTCGAATTACAATTCTGAGAGAATAGCATATGATCCATTTTAAAAATACGTATTTAGTAATAAGTATCAATTCTTCAACTGTTGTGTAAGCTATGACCATGTCTCTCCTATTAGCATTAAGTCTTACCTGTGTAAGTCACTCAAGCATGAATGGGAAGAAAGACTCTTAAGACAAACTTGCTACTGTGGTTCATTATAATCAACATTTAAATAAACATGCAAAAAGGTAAACTAGTTCAAGGATACAGCACTTGCATGGTTAATACCAACAAAAACTGCTATACATCGCATTACACTGGCCCATTCTCTCTTGAATTTGTGTGGTTCTCCAAGATGGCTGTCAATACAGGGATACAGCAGGCCAACAACAGCTGTAAAAAATGAAATAGAGACAGCTTGTACATAGAATTTATACAATATTTCAATATTAGTCTAGCAAATAAGTGCATGGCAAAGCCTTTTAAGCAGTTAGGCTCATCACTTTATATGTAGGGCCCTACTAAAATTCTTGGTTGTTAAAAACACATCATGGACAGTGAAATCTGGTCTCCGCTGTGAAATCTATAGCGTAAAAGTACACAGCACTTAAACTGGGAGGCCTGACCCAAAATAGAGTCACAAGGCTATTATAAGGAGGGGGGCTTGTCACGGTATTGCCACCTTACTTCTGTGCTGCCTTCAGAGCTGGGCACCCAGACAGCTGCTCTGTGGTTGCCCAGCTCTGAAGCCCAGCACAGAAGTAAGGTTGACACAGTAGAGAAGACAAGTCCATAGAGTCAAGGGACTTCCTTCTCCCAAGAGTAACAGTTCATACTCACTTTGTATCTATACGGCTGGATACCTGTTACATAACAGAGTCAACGAATGACATTACCAAAAATTTAAATTAAAGTGAAGAGTGGAATATTTCTTTCCTTTCAAGAATCCAGTATAGCCAAGACACCCTCCAGTGACAACTGAATAGGCATGACTGAGTTACAGGTATCTTACATTTGGGGCTGATCCAAAGTCCACTGAAGTCAATAGACTTTGGATCAGGACCATAAATACCTGCCTGAACTTAAACCATGGGCAGAGGAACTCTCCCCTCATATAGCTATAAAAAAAAATATTTCAGGATTGTCACTCTGAAGCCTTAAATGTCTGAGTCAGTGTGAAGTGATGGAAACAGCTGCAAGCATGGGTTTTTATGTATGTGTTTAGAATATCACCAGGTTTGGTCATCACTGGGATTCATAATCTGTTACTATCCACTTTTTAAGTTCTCACCCATTTTGACTTTAACAATTACACCCATGCAACAGCAGGGCCTTTCAGCTACATCTATCCAGCAGTACTAGACCACTGACAGAAGTAACAACCAATTGCCACCCTTATTGTACACCTAATTTACAAACAATAATTTGTTGTTACGAGTCAGTGATATGAGGGAGCCTGCGCAAAATGGATTACTTGGTCCAACTGCCACAATTCTTCAAAAGTTGATTTGCCACCTATACAACTCAAATGCCCCAATGCAAAGCACACCCACAAACAGATCAATGTAACCACCCACACAGGATTCCAAGATTGAAAGCCTGTGACAGAGTGACAAATACTAATTGGATTAGAATGGCCCATTTCTACTCCCCTTCAAAGCAAGGAAATTGTGGGAGCAAACAACTTATTTAGTTTTAAGAGAGCTGGACAAATTTATGAGTGCAATTGTATGACCAGGTTGCTTGTGATGGGAGGGAACAAGTCTCAACAGCACTGGGGCTCACTTCTAGTTTGTCTTATCTTCTTCCTAAAGATCATGCTTCAGCATTCCAGCCTGCCACCTGCAAAGATCAGAAAGTGACACCCCCTCACCCCACAACCCCAAATGTATTCTAGGGAGGGGGTTTGTTTGTTTTAAATCTCCTTCCTCTGAAGCATCAGGGATGGTGACAGCTGGAGATAGGACATTGGATGGTATAGGCCAGGGCTCTAAGGTGGTACAGAGCATCCTCTGATCAGAAAGCACAAAACTCAAATGAAAGCTTACAATCTAGTCCTGCTGAAGAAAACTTCTGGTCTATCAGTGATGATGATGCACTCAGCTATATACACTTACTCACCAAGACAAATGCTCTGTTTAAAAAAAAAAACCTTGCATTTTCAGAGGGTTCTTACAAGAATGATAAGATTGTGAGATTATACCTGGCCAGAGTTGGAAAATAAAGTTGTATGTAATCTGCTATAATTGTTATCCTCATATTAGATTTAAAGATTGATTGAAAGGTATGTTTTTAAGAAGGAAATTTTCTTGTCAATGTTGCAAATAATGCTTTACTTGGATTATTAAAACAATTCTAAAGAGCATAGTTCCTTTTCACAGGTTATGGTGTTTTCAGTGTTTCCAGCTTCCACAAGCCAGAGTCTACAGATTTTCACTCTTACTTTAATGCACTAGCACAATGCTATAACGTTTGGCTTGCAGATGCTACATGGGAAGGTTTAAGATTTTTCTTCTATTTGTGTTTTAAAAAAAAAGTCATGGGAACATCTCTTGGTTTTATTTATTTGTTTTTAATTTGACCTGCCATCTCCCTCCCCATCCTTTCCCCAGTGCCATCTGTATATACTAGATGTACGGTAAAAGCAGGACTTAGATTATTAGTACCAATACTGAAGTCTGCGGCCCATTTTTGTTCCAATTAAACAGCAAAATGGCTCTTATTTTCATTGTGTGTTTTGTTACAAATTGTGCTGTAGCTTGCAAGAACTCAGTTTCTGGTGGTTACTTGTGGCTGCTGGCAGTAGCACTGCTTCAGGCAGAGAACAGGGAAGGCAGCCAGAAAGGCTTCCCTCATTCCCCACTGACATGTGACTTCCTTGTTTTCAATTCTCTGTCTGTGGCATGTTCACTCAGGCAGCCAGTAGTAACTGAACCTTGCGACTCACCAGTTTCAGGGGGAACCAATCAGACAGCAAGCAGTAATGAGAGCCATGCCTGCTGCTGCACTAGGTCTAAGCACTGTTCACAGTCCTGCCAGACAACAGGACACCCAGGATATACCCCAATACTCTGCAACAAGTGGAGAGAGCTTCTCTAGGCTACCAGGAGAAAAACCCTATACTCCACAGCCTGCAGAAATCACCTCAGCCCTAAAGAGCTGTGTGTAGAGAGGTATCCAATTCCCCCAGAACACTGCTGAAATATTGGCCAGCTGAACAGAGTATTCATACCTCAAATACACATCAAGGCAGTTTGAAAGAGAAGCACATCACCTGGCTGGGATGATTTAACTGGGAATTGGTCCTGCTTTGAGCAGGGGGTTGGACTAGATGACCTTCTGGGGTCCCTTCCAACCCTTATATTCTATGATTCTATGATACCTTTGTAAAGAGTGTGCTTAAGCTCAGGAAGCACTTTGTGCCAGATATGAAATTAGTTTTCTCCTGGTTGTGGGAGAAAGCTGGACCAAGTCTATTTCCCCCCCCAAGCCCAGATGTCATGCCAACTAAATACACATGAAGTGTGGCCACTGCCAAACCCCAGAACATGCAGGCCACAGACCCCCCCCCCCCATGCCAGTGCCTTCTTTCTCACATTGCAGCTGACCAAGCCACCTATAGGGACTCACCTGCAGCTGTCCCACAGCAAGGGGGCACCCACCAGGCAGAGGAGAAGATAGTGGCAATGACTTCCTCAGGGAATAGGGTCACATTCCTCTGTATCTGCAGTAAGTTTAACACCAGTGCCATGAAAGCACCCACAGCAAAGAGCACCAAGCTCCGTTGCACCAGGTGTTGGTTCAAGTTCAGGCTGTTGGTGCTGCTGCTACTGAGACTGGAAGTGCTCGGGGTCCGTGTTCCATGACCCACCAAAGTCAGTGGAGAGCTTGAGACCGAGGAGCTCAGCATCTCGCCCACCTTGGCAGCCAGTCCAACAGCAGTTTTCCCCAGTTGGTTTTTATGCCTTCCCGAAGCAGCGCAGTTACAACTCCAGGTGCAATTCTCTAATCTGGGCATTGGCTTCACCATCAGGATCCTAACACACACACAGAAGAGTGCCTATTAGTGCCCCAAAGCCTAAATCCTCTGCACTTGTGTGCATGTGTACACATGTACACACACGCAATAATACTTTGCATGTCTATGGCACCTACCATTTGAGGAGCTCAAATTAATTTAGATCCCCAACACCCACAGACTCTGTTTACAGCTAGAGAATCAAACACTGATGTCAAATAACTTGCCAAAAGTCAGAGAAAGATTGTGGCAGGGCCAAGAACAGGCCAGATGGTGCAGCCACTTCTCTGCAGTTGAATCCATCACATGTCACACAGGGGTAGGGGAGAAAGACCCTCAGGGCACCTCAGACAATAAGGTCAAGGGCGCTACACCCGGCTGGGCAGGGGAACAGGCAGCGTTGGGGCAGCCTGGTGTAGACCCCGGCCCCCCGGCTCTCAGCCCTCGGGGCCCCAGGATGACAAGCTACCCCCAGGCCCCTCCCCAGCCCAGGGGGGTGCGAGGGGCCAAGTGCCCAGGCCGGAAAGGGCTGACCCGCCTCCAGGCGGCATCCCCGGGAGAGCGGGGTCCGCAAGCAGGCGGGCGCGGCCGGATGACCCAAGCCCCCCGAGGCGCAGGCAGCGCAGCCCCTGCAGGGGACCCGGGCCGCACGTGCCCGCGACGGGCAAGAGCCGCAGCACAGTGCCCGCCACTAGGCGGCTCCGGCGCTCCCCCGGCAGGCCCCTCCCTCCTCCATCGGACAAGGAGCCGCGCTGGGGGCGGGGGGGACAAGACAGCCGCCCCCCCCCCCCATTTCCTAGCTCCAGTGCTAGGGGGGAGGGGCGCTGCGCACCGCGGCTGCCGGGTCGCCTACCTGCCGCGGCTGGGCTCCCACCTGCGGGGGCGCTGCTCGGCTCCCTCACGGCCCCGTCCCGTCCGGCCGCCGCAGCGGGCTGGGGAAAGGTTTATAAGCCGCGAGCCTCGACGTCACGTTACCCGCTCCCGACCTACCCCGGAGGCAGAGGGAGAGTCGGCCCCCGCCCCCGCCCCTCGGAACGGTGGCTGGAGGGAGCCTCCGCGCGGCGCCGGGAACAACATTCAGTCTGGTGAGGCTCGGCGGCCAATGGGAGCCAGGCAGCCCATATGACGTGCGGGACACACCACCCACCTTCCGTTTCGGCTGACAGCTGCGCCGCGTCGGGGCTGCTGGGTGGCGCGCGAGCGGGCGGTGAGGGCGCGCGGCTGGGCTGGCTTGGGCGGGGCGAGGGCGGGCTGGTGTGCGCCGGTGGCGGTGAGCAGGGGAGGGCTGGGGCGACGGGTCCCCTCCGAACGGAACGAACGTTCCGGTCCAATCCCAACGGAAAACGTAGCCGGTTTAAACTGTCTGAGGCCAAGTGGGGTGAGGAGGTCGCGTTGCAACTGCGGGGAGGGGCAGGGCAGGGCAGGCCTCAAAGCCCAGAATGAACCAGGATGGTCAAATGTAGGGTGAGCTGAGCCTAGCAGGGGACAAGGGGGCTGCCAGGTCCTGCTGCCCTTTGGGCACAACCCCCCCCCCCCCCGGGATTGCACCACCATCGCACCAGGGAACAACCCCCAGCAGCTTCTGATATTGCCCCAACTCCATGCGCCTGTGCAAGGGGGCATGGTGCATTGTGCCCCCATGCACAGCCGATCTGCCCAACACAGACCTAGGAGCTATGGTCTGTGTTATGCAGGAGGTCAGAGTAGATAGATACTCACAATGGTCTCTTCTGGTCTTAAAATCCCAGGGCATGAGCATCGCAGGATCTTGGTTCCAGCTTGAGCCTGGCAATTTTTGGCCTTGAGCTTCCACACTGGATTAACTAAAAAATAAGGAAGTGTCGCTCCTCTCCCTTCTTTGAAGAAATCTGGATCTTGATGTGTCCAGTCCAATAGCACTGAAAAACACATACGTGATTCCTGCCCCTTTTTGACCCTAATCCCCCAAATTCTACTGACAAATCCGTGTGCAGTGCATAGAACTTTTCAAAAAGGTCTAAGCGATTTAGACATCTTCCATTAAAATGGGTTTTAAATTAAGGAATATATGTCAAAATTCACGAGGCAGCTTTGATAATTTCAGTCAAATGCTGAGCTGCTAAAGCCACATCTATAGTGTGATCATCCACTTCTGCTAGGCCAGTTCCATGGCAGAATTTCAATGTAGAGCTGTGCAATTTGCTTGTATCTGAAAACATTAAGATGTCAGATCTGGGTTATCTGGATACAGATTCATCTGATGTAAAAGAATGGCTACAACCTGTCTATCTAGAAGGCAAAATTATGGGAATCTATGGGAGGGTCCCTCCCTCCCTCTCCACTCCCCTCCTCTAGGACACTCGTTGGGCAGTTAATACCTAGTTTAGGGGCGAGAAACGGTGCCCCGAACCCTCCCCAAGAAGAAAGAGTGCAAGACCCATCAAAGTAGTGCCAGCAATTTGCCACAAGTGGCATGATATTTTCTGTTTTGTTATCTATCCCCTTCCTAATGGTTCCTAGCATTCTGTTAGCCACTGCACATTGAGCAGATGTTTTCAGAGAACTATTCACAATGACTCCAAGATCTCTTTCTTGAATGATAACAGCTAATTTAGATCCCATCATTTTGTGTGTATTGTTAAGATTATGTTTTCCAATGTGTATTAGTTGAAATTCACTGTTGATAAATGCAATCTGCCAATTTGTTGCCCAGTCACCCAGTTTTGTGAGATCCCTTTGTAACTCTTGGGACTTAATTATCTTGAGTAGTTTAGTATCATCTGCAAACTGTGCCACCTCACTGTGTATCCCTCTCCAGATCATTTATCAATATATTGAATTGTTCCCAGTACAGATCCTTGGAGGACTCAGCTATTTACTCTCTGTTCTGTCTACTGCGAAGACCGACAGTTTATTCCAAAGGGTTGTTTCCTGTCTTTTAACCAGTTCCTGATCTGGGAGAAGATCTTCTCTCTTATCCCATGACTGCTTATTTTGCTTAAGAGTCTTTAGTGAGGGACCTTTTCAAAGGCTTTCTGAAAGTTTGAATACACTATATCCACTGGATCACCCTTGTCCCATGTTTGTTGAGCCCCTCAAAGAATTCTAAGAGATTGGTGAGGCATGATTTCCCTTTACAAAAGCCATGTTGACTCTTCCCCAACGTATTGTGATCATAGATGTGACTGATAATTCTGTTCTTCACTATAGTTTAAACCAATTTGCCTGTTACTGAAGTTAGCCTTACCAGCCTGTAGCTGCCAAGATTGCTTTTGGAGCCTTTAAAAAAAAACCAACAGCATCACATTGGCTATCTGCCAGTCATCAGAGGCTGATTTAAGCTATAGGTTACATACCACAGTAGTAGTTCTTCAATTTTGTATTTAAATTCCTTTAGAACTCTTGGATGAACACCATCTGGTCCTGATGACTTACTATTATTTAGTTTATCAATTTTTTTCCAAACCTCCTCTATTGACACCTCAATCTGGGTCAGTTCCTCAGATTTGTCACCTAAAAAGAATGGCTCAGGTGTGGGAATCTCCCTCACATCCTCTGCAGTGCATGCAAGTAATTCATTTAGCTTCTCCACAACATCCCTGTCTTCCTTTAGTGCTCTGTTAGCACCTTGATCATCCAGTGGCCCCACTTTGGCAAGTTTCCTGCATCTGATGTGCTTAAAAAAATTTGCTGTTAGCTTTTTTGTGTCTTTTGCTAGTTGATCTTTGAATTCTTTTTTGGCCTGCCTAATTATGTTTTTACACTTGACTTGCTAGAATTTATGATTCTTTCTATATGTTGATTAGGTGGGGAAATTGGCCAAGTTCTTTTCTGCAGCCTTTATTTCTGAACTTCCTGTACACAATGAATTATTTAAAGAACTGTAAATGTTGGGTTTCTACTGATGTTTTTTCCCAACAATGTAATCATTTGTTAAGATGGGCCTCCTATAATATAATGGGTTGGATTATTATTTGTAGCAGTAGTTTTTCTGAGGAGTTGTATCCGTGTAGGCATTTATGCTGCAGAACGGTTCCTTGTAATGCTTTTATAGCCAGTCTGAAGCACCCTGATATGTTTATTGCTAGGCCAGGTTATATGTAATTTAGAGTGTGTTCAACCTTCATTATACAATGTTACTTTGTTTTGGTTTATTTGGGGCTTTCTTGAAACATCATGAAAGTGTCACTGCAACACAGTGTTGTAGAAAACAGCAGTACATCATAATGGGGAAAAGGGAATAATGCAATGTAGTCAAAAATGGCAGCACAACAGATTGTGGCAGCGTGGTGGGAAAATTACACTGAGTGTGCCCAAATCATTTTTGAAATGGTAGCATGGAATCACCCAGGTGAAAATTAGGATGATTCCACAAAATGTGGGGCTAGTGGTGATATGCAGCAAAGGTAACAAATTCTAAAGAGAGTCCCTTCTAGCACTGAATAAGGATTTTTATCAGAATAAATGGGAAACTTTCACAGGAACTGGATCATTAATATTGAACTCACCTGTCAGAAGAAATAAGAATGACCACTAACCTTGTTACATTCAGAGCTGAATGCAAAATCTGTCTCTGCCAAGCATTTCCATAATAGTACCCTCTAGCTTAAAGATTAATTTAAAAAAACCTCTAAGCCTGCAGAGAAGGAAAAGCAAATGAGCGATAGCATTACCAACTTTTAACTCAGAGAAGATGCTCAAATATTACAATTATGAGGCTACATAACAACGTGGAAAGACAGGATAATGAAAACATTATTATTCCTGAAGCAGTTTTCTCTTTCTGCTTCACCCCCTCTTAATCAATCATGCTCTAAGAACTGTAGGTGGGTTTGTCTTAGCCTGTCTTTTTCTCTATTTATTTTTAGGCCAGCAGCCTTCAGGACTTGTTTTAACCCTATCTAAAGTTCTTCCTCTTAACTTTGCATAAACTAAAATGTCATCCAGAGAAACTTCCACTCTCTCCCTTGTAGAATCTAGCTTATTTTTCCTTTGAATGATTTGTGACGCAGGTTGTGATATTGAATGGGAGGTGACCAAAGCAATATCTTGTTAGTGGTTTGGTTTAGATTGTCAGTGTAAAAAGACATCAGATAATTTGGCTCAGTTTATTGAAAATAGATAAAACAGCAAAATCAGAGATGTTCATACATTATGAAATATGGAGAACTGGCTTGTGGCAATTTCAGTCTGTTCCAAAGTATGAACCCAATTATTGTTATATGTATATTCCACTAGTTTATGAAATCTAGGAAACTAATACGCCTTTCTCCCCTTTTCTTATCTAGTTTCACTCCGATTTTTCAGAGTACAGAGACATCTGCACTAACCATACACAATAACATTCCAGATATTAATTAGGGTTACCTTATTTCCCTATGCTGAATACGGAACACCTGGTACAATTACTCCAATTCAAGCAAGTTCAACGGCAATCAGTCAGAACTGTGCAGTACAAATGTTCAAATTGACTGAGCCCCTGTTAAAAAGAAATACTGTGTTTATTATAACATTAATAATTAAAAAATTATAAGTATATACTCACAAGTAAGTGGTTACTGCTCTTTAGAAATGCCTGCCCTGTCCATCTTTCTGTCCTCCACAGTGTGATGCTTCTTGTGGACTGTATTTGTCACTTGAAGCAATTTTTTGAAGGTTCTGCTTGTCTTTCAGCAGCTTGTCATAGAATGCAGTACAGTCCAGGTCAAAATTCACTCACACAAACAAAATAGCCTTCAAAGTAGAAACACTGACCATTACTGAAAGGACACATTCAACAGGAAGAAAAGGAGTACTTGTGGCACCTTAGAGACTAACCAATTTATCTGAGCATTTGTAGCTCACGAAAGCTTATGCTCAAATAAATCGGTTATTCTCTAAGGTGCCACAAGTACTCCTTTTCTTTTTGCGAATACAGACTAACACGGCTGTTACTCTAAAACGTTCAACAGGGGCTGTGGTGCCTGGCAAACACAAAACAAACTCAGCTGCCTTTGCCAGATCGGAGTATTCTACTGCCTTATTGTCCATCTCTTGAAAAACATTCCACCACCTTTCAGAAACGGGTGCTTTCTGAGTGTTCCAGTCATACGTATAACGGGACATTATTGGTTTTACATTTGCCCACTCATCAAAAAGATGGTTCTCGTCAATCGAACTTAGTGTGGGAATTTTTGTGTGGCAAGTGGCAAATGCTGCTTTGTATATTATCCCACACTGGCGTGCTTCTCAACAGGGCACACTCAAGCTTTTTTGTGCACTCAAAGGCAGGTTTCCAGTACTCCAAGTACTTCAGAGATGTTGACTAAAATTTCTGCACTGCATTGTAAAATTCCTTTTCCTTAATTTCCCCACCCTCAACCAAAGACTGCAACAGGATTTTTGTGTGTGATATGACAAATCTTTCTCTGAGCCTCTTCACTAAAGTATCTTGAAGGGTATGAATATGCAATGCAACTTCTGTCACCGATTAGTTGTTTTTCTCTTTTGCCTCTACTGTCTTCTGAAAGATGGCTGTTTGCTTACTAGCAAAAACAAGCCACAGTTTTGTGCAAGGGCCATTGAAGACTTTCTTCAACAGTGTTGGGCATTTGTTCTGAGAGAGAAAATATGCCATGAGCCCATCAAAAATCGACAACATTCTGTCTAGCGCTGGTCCAAGAGAAAGGAATCGTGTGCTGCTATGCTCTAGTAATTTAAAATACTTGAGATTGACAAATCAGCAGAAGTCTTTCAGTTCTTTGACGTGAACAGTGTCATTTATATTTTTATAAACTTTCACGACAAAGGACTCCAAGTCAATCGGAAGACAGTGAGCTGCTGTTTGCAGACAGTTACAAATGATGTGAGCACCGCAACCAATACCAAGGATCTTTCCCTCATTTGACTTGCAGTTTTCGTCCTATGTTGTTTTTTCCAGCATGTTTAGCACCACCAAAATTTGTACTGGCATTGTCTGCACAAAGCCCAACAAGCTTTTCACTCAATTTTTTCTCAGTCAATTGATGTAGAAGTTTTGTAAGGTAGAGAAGAAAACTCAATAATTTGTGTTTACCCCACTGATTGGAAGAAAATAGCACACAAGAACAGGAAATAGCTTTTGGTCCTTTTGGTTTGATGCATCCATGCTAAGTGTGATAAATGAGCACTTCTTTAATCACACTGCAGTTCTGTTGATAATGGAGTGGATACATTCAAATTATTGCCTCAGATTTGGTGTGCATAGATGAAAACTTGGGTTGGTAAAGTTTTTTTTTGTTTTTTTTTAATCAATTGCAAGGTACGATCACTAGATCTGAAGCTGTGTCCATGGCGCTCAGAATGGTAAGCAAACAGTCCCTCAATTGCATGTATCCATCAGCTTCTATGTTTTGCTTAACAAAACATTCTGAAACACTTGGAGTTGCACACGTATTTCGTTCAGTGTCCTTTTGTTTTTTTTGTTTGAAGATGCTGAGTAATGTCACTACAGCTGCCATAAGCAATTGAAAAATGTGCTCCACACGTCTGACATATAACCTGACTGTTGTCAGCTACGGAAGAGTCTTTTTTCAAAAACTTGAATTGTTTTTGAAGGTCACCATTAAAAGAACATGCATGCTTTTGTGACCTTTCTTGAGTAAAGATTGAACTAACTTCATGTGGTTGCAGCCTTGCAATGCTTCACATCTAGCACTGATTCGGGTTGCCCAGAGCAACTGCCGCTGCCACCGCCTATCATAAATTTGACCACAGTAAGAATGTTACTGTGAGTGCAATAAGATTTTGTTGTGTGCATGCGTTACAAAAAAGACAGTTACCTTTTTCCGTAACTGGTGTTCTTTGAGATGTGTTGCTCATGTCCACTCCACGCTCCTTTCCCACTTTCTTTCTTTCCTGTAAATGTCCTGCAAATGCTTTCAGTAGCTGGGCAGACTTCATGTATACTGTATCCTCCTCGTTTGTGCCCCAGAAACTCATTCTGTTAAGAAGCTTCATTTTTATTGCGCTTCTTTTTTCCTCTATGGGCATGTCCTCTTTGCTACTTCTTGCTTCATCCTTTCATTACTTCCTTGTTCGATAACTTGCATTTTTACTCATAATGCCATGCCAGTTGCACTGCCTATTCCTGAATTACCTCAGATATTCAGGGTCAAATTCTCAGCTGGTTTAAATTGATGTAGCTTCATTTAAACAAATGGATCTACACAGATTTATACCAGCTGAGCATCTGGCCTTAAACATAATTTTTCTGAAAGTTCCTTGTTTAAAACCCAAGTTTAGATGACCTCACAATGCTTTTTATTTTTATATGGGACCCTTATAAAGGCAAGGCCTCTGCACTTTTTGGTAAAAGCATATATGTTCATTTGTTACCTTTTTGTTTTTGGAATGAAATGCTTATCAGATTTTTAAGACTAATGTCACTGTTATTTTTATCTCATTTCTCAGCAAGCACAATTGATTAATAAAAAGTGCTCAGCATCACTACCTGTTACATAAATTAATTAGCTGACCTGTACATCAATACTCTCTATATTAAACTTTGTTGCATTTTGGAATCTGGTGACGTGCTCATTCTACTCAGTCCCTTCCGTGGAGATGATCAAATTGAAAATCTTATGAGGAGCTGAATATTGGCATTTTCCTCTTATTTATGCTGGGTCAAAATGAGTCAACCTCTGACACCATGTCAGGTGACAATGTTAAAGAATCACAGAGTCAATTTCTTCCAGCACTGAACAAGACCAGTATTATCCCTAATGCTTCTGTCTCTCTCAGCTTCAATGTAGAGCTTTTGGCTAGAATTTTCTCCAATCTTAGGATTCCTGCCTGGCTTCCTGCTATAGATATAAAGAAGTAGTAGTCACATCCTTACAGGCGATGCCCCAATCATGGGCATGGGCTGAATAGTGGGTGAACTTTATTCTCCTGTTGTTTTGTCTCATACATGGCATTTAGTCTCATTGTATGTCTAGCAATTCCAAAAGTTTTTGGACAGCTGTAGCAGTTTACCAGACTAAGTCCTCTGCTGTACTAGCCACCTTCAGTTCAGCTGTGCATACTTTAACCCCATTGGCTCCTTGGTTAAGCTGTGTGGTAAATGACTATGCTTGCTTGGAGATCAAAGTACCCCAGTTTTCAGTCATGTATGCAGTATCCTGCAGCTCAGTTTGGGCTGCTCTAAATCCCGCTCTTATGAGGAAGTAGACCAGGCTCCACTGCAGGGCAGAGCATCAAAAGCGGAGTGGGAGGTGGGCCAGTTATATAGTACCATCTACGTCATTTAAAATGTATAGAATCTAAAAAGGACAGTCTCTGAGCAAAAGAGATCACAATCTGTGTATGACAAACAGTACTGAGATAAAAGACAGAGGTAGTGGAGAGAAAGAATGGTTGAAAGTTAAAACAAATGTGTCATATTATACAGTGAACAAAACTTCAGTATTGTGCTCTTTTTAATATCATCTGAAGGAGGAAAATGAGGAATGGATGAAGGCTGAAGGGGAGTCCAGAGTACAGTAGTCAGAAAACCCTAACTTGCCAGTACCATCTCGTAGATTCACTAGTGGCTGTGAGCCATTTCTTTTAGCAGTTAATAATATCATGGCAGGGATATGATAAATGTTAATTGAAGTTCTTTTGTTTAGTCACAGGCGACTCTATAGCTCCTTTCTGTTTTGCACAGAACATAATAAAAAGAACAATTATACATATGCCCCAGTTTTCAAGTGTGTTAAATTCATATGACTACCATATAATTAGCTGATCAGCATCCCACATACAGCTGCAGATACTGCATCACTATCAATGCTCAACTGTCATGACACAAACAAGGAAAGCTGTCCCCATTTTGCTAATCAGCATTCATGTAGTGATCAAAACACTTCTCACTGTATAAACTGCATTAATTTGACAGAATTCCTGATAAAAATGACCATTTGCTGGTTGTGATTGTGATGGGGCATCTTCCCCTCACTGTCCCATAAAGGGTTAGTAGAGCCCTAGGGAGTCTGTGCAGGAGGCAGCCAATTAGAGAGGGGCTGCAAGGAGCAGCCAATCAGGACTGGGCTGGCCCATATAAGAAGGGCTGCAGAGCAGAGTGATTTCAGTCATTCCCTGGAGCTTGAGGAGGACTGGCTGCCTTGCAGGCTGATGGTAGTGAGCATCCCGAACAGAGCAGTGCTGCAGGCAGAGACCTAAAGGCAGTTCCTGGTGGGCTGCAGGGATCTGCAGGCTGAGGCCAGGGAAAAGAAGATGCAGGGGGCTCTGGGGAGGTGGCCCAGGGAAAGGTACTGAGAGGTTGGAGGAGGATGTAGCACATAGCTGCCATCTACAGGCTCCCTAGTCTGGGGACTTTGCCCTGGTCTACACTAGGACTTTAGGTCGAATTTAGCAGCGTTAAGTCTATGTAAACCTGCACCTGTCCACACGATGAAACCCTTTATTTTGACTTAAAGGGCTCTTAAAATCGATTTCCTTACTCCACCCTGACAAGTGGATTAGCGCTTAAATCGGCCTTGCTGGGTCGAATCTGGGGTACTGTGGACACAATTCGACGGTATTGGCCTCTGGGAGCTATCCCAGAGTGCTCCATTGTGACTGCTCTGGACAGCACTCTCAACTCAGATGCACTGGCCAGGTAGACAGGAAAAGAACCGCGAACTTTTGAATCTCATTTCCTATTTGGCCAGCATGGCAAGCTGCAGGTGACCATGCAGACAGAGCTCATCAGCAGAGGTGACCATGATGGAGTCCCAGAATTGCAAGAGCTCCAGCATGGACTGAACAGGAGGAACGGGATCTGATTGCTGTATGGGGAGAGGAATCCATGCTATCAGAACTCCGTTCCAGTTTTTGAAATGCCAAAACCTTTGTCAAAATCTCCCAGGGCATGAAGGACAGAGGCCATAACAGGGACCCGAAGCAGTGCCGCGTGAAACTGAAGGAGCTGAGGCAAGCCTACCAGAAAACCAGAGAGGCGAACGGCCGCTCCGGGTCAGAGCCCCAAACATGCTGCTTCTATGATGAGCTGCATGCCATTTTAGAGGGTTCAGCCACCACTACCCCAGCCGTGTTGTTTGACTCCTTCAGTGGAGATGGAGGCAACACGGAAGCAGGTTTTGGGGACGAAGAAGATGATAGCTCACAGCAAGCAAGTGGAGAAACCAGTTTTCCTGACAGCCAGGAACTGTTTCTCACCCTGGACCTGGAGCCAGTACCCCCCGAACCCACCCAAGGCTGCCTCCTGGACCCGGCAGGCGGAGAAGGGACCTCCGGTGAGTGTACCTTTTAAAATACTATACATGCTTTAAAAGCAAGCACGTGAAAGGATTACTTTGCCCTGGCATTCGCGGCTCTCCTGGGTGTACTCCCAAAGCCTTTGCAAAAGGTTTCTGGGGAGGGCAGCCTTATTGCGTCCTCCATGGTAGGACACTTTACCACTCCAGGCCAGTAACACGTACTCGGGAATCATTGTACAACAAAGCATTGCAGTGTATGTTTGCTGGCGTTCAAACAACATCCGTTCTTTATCTCTCTGTGTTATCCTCAGGAGAGTGAGATATCATTCATGGTCACCTGGTTGAAATAGGGTGCTTTTCTTCAGGGGACACTCAGGAGCCCGTTCCTGCTGGGCTGTTTGCCTATGGCTGAACAGAAATGTTCCCCGCTGTTAGCCACGGGGAGGGTTGAGGGGGTAGCCACGCAGTGGGAGGAGGCAAAATGCGACCTTGTAACGAAAGCACATGTGCTATGTATGTAATGTTAACAGCAAGGTTTACCCTGAAAGAGTGTAGCCACTGTTTTATAAAATGTGTCTTTTTAAATACCACTGTCCCTTTTTTATTTTTTTCTCCACCAGCTGCATGTGTTTCAATGATCACAGGATCTTCTCCTTCCCAGAGGCTAGTGAAGATTAGAAAGAAAAAAAAAACGCACTCGTGATGAAATGCTCTCTGAGCTCATGCTGTCCTCCCACACTGACAGAGCACAGACGAATGCTTGGAGGCAAATAATGTCAGAGTGCAGGAAAGCACAAAATGACCGGGAGGAGAGGTGGCGGGCTGAAGACAGGGCTGAAGCTCAAATGTGGCGGCAGCGTGATGAGAGGAGGCAGGATTCAATGCTCAGGCTGCTGGAGGATCAAACCAGTGTGCTCCAGTGTATGGTTGAGCTGCAGCAAAGGCAGCTGGAGCACAGACTGCCACTACAGCCCCTGTGTAACCAACTGCCCTCCTCCCCAAGTTCCATAGCCTCCACACTCAGACGCCCAAGAACGCGGTGGGGGGCCTCCGGCCAACCAGCCACTCCACCACAGAGGATTGCCCAAAAAATAGAAGGCTGACATTCAATAAATTTTAAAGTTGTAAACTTTTAAAGTGCTGTGTGTCATTTTCCTTCCCTCCTCCACCACCCCTCCTGGGCTACCTTGGTAGTCATCCCCCTATTTGTGTGATGAATGCATGAATGTGAAGCAACAATGACTTTATTGCGTCTGCAAGCGGTGATTGAAGGGAGGAGGGGAGGGTGGTTAGCTTACAGGGAAGTAGAGTGAACCAAGGGGTGGGGGCTTTCATCAAGGAGAAACAAACAGAACTTTCACACCCTAGCCTGGCCAGTCATGAAACTGGTTTTCAAAGCTTCTCTGATGCGTACCGCGCCCTCCTGTGCTCTTCTAACTGCCCTGGTGTCTGGCTGCATGTAACTAGCGGCCAGGCGATTTGCCTCAACCTCCCACCCTGCCATAACCGTCTCCCCCTTACTCTCACAGATATTGTGGAGCACACAGCAAGCAGTAGTAACAGTGGGAATACTGGTTTTGCTGAGGTCTAAGCGAGTCAGTAAACTGCACCAGCGCGCCTTTAAACGTCCAAATGCATATTCTGCACTTGCTCAGCCTGCAGTTGAACAGCTCCTGACTACTGTCCAGGCTGCCTTTGTACAGCTTCATGAGCCATGGCATTAAGGGGTAGGCTGGGTCTCCAAGGATACATATAGACATTTCAACATCCCCAACAGTTATTTTCTGGTCTGGGAATAAAGTCCCTTCCTGCAGCTTTTGCAACAGACCAGAGTTCCTGAAGATGCGAGCGTCATGTTCTTTTCCCGGCCATCCCATGTTGATGTTGGTGAAACGTCCCTTGTGATCCACCAGAGCTTGCAGCACTATTGAAAAGTACCCCTTGCGGTTTATGTACTCGCCAGCTTGGTGCTCTGGTGCCAAGATAGGGATATGGGTTCCGTCTATAGCCCCACCACAGTTAGGGAATCCCATTGCAGCAAAGCCATCCACTATGACCTGCACATTTCCCAGGGTCACTACCCTTGATATCAGCAGAACTTTGATTGTGTGGGCTACTTGCATCACAGCAGCCCCCACAGTAGATTTGCCCACTGCAAATTGATTCCCAACTGACCGGTAGCTGTCTGGCGTTGCAAGCTTCCACAGGGCTATCGCCACTCGCTTCTCAGCTGTGAGGGCTGCTCTCATCTTGGTATTCATGCGCTTCAGGGCAGGGGAAAGCAAGTCACAAAGTTCCCTGAAAGTGAACTTACGCATGCGAAAGTTTCGCAGCCACTGGGAATCGTCCCAGACCTGCAACACTATGCAGTCCAACCAGTCTGTGCTTGTTTCCTGAGCCCAGAATCGGCGTTCCACAGCATGAACCTGCCCCATTAGCACCATGATGCATGCATTGGCAGGGCCCATGCTTTCAGAGAAATCTGTGTCTATGTCCTGATCACTCACGTGACCGCGCTGACGTTGCCTCCTCGCCCGGTATCGCTCTGCCAGGTTCTGGTGCTGCATATACTGCTGGATAATGCGTATGGTGTTTAATGTGCTCCTAATTGCCAAAGTGAGCTGAGCGGCCTCCATGCTTGCCTTGGTATGGCGTCCACACAGAAAAAAGGCGTGGAACGATTGTCTGCCGTTGCTCTGACGGAGGGAGGGGCGACTGACGACACGGCTTAAGGGGTTGGCTTCAGGGAGCTAAAATCAACAAAGGGGGTGGCTTTACATCAAGGAGTATTTCAGGCAGGACTTCACGGAGGGTTCCAATAAGAAATGGTGCACCTAAGTTATTGTTCTTATTGGAACAAGGAGGTTAGTCTGGCCTCTGATTGATACATGGCTAGATTTACCTCACTGCACCTTCTCTGTGAGTGACTGCAGTGTGACCTAGAGGAACGAGTCTCCTAGACGGGGGAGGGGGAGGAACAAATGAGTACAAAACAAATCTGGTCTATTTCTTGTTTTGATCCACTCCATCTATCTTTTACATCTTTGGCTGGCAGCAGACGGTGCAGAAGGACTGCAAGCCATCCATATCTCATGGCTGCTCGGCAGAAGACGGTGCAGTAGGACTGCTAGCCATCCTCATCTCTTGCCTGCCTGGCAGAAGATGGTACAGTATGACTGCTAGCAATCCGTATCACCTGCCTGCTCACCATAAGATGGTTCAATAGGACTGACTGCAGGACTAAAGAGATCAAGTCACTCCAAATTTAGTACCTGCGCCCATGTCTGCCCAGGCGCTCCTGATCGACCTCACACAGGCGACCAGGAGCACCTCGGACATGACGATGACAGCTACCAGTCCTATTGTACCATCTGCTGCCACAAGGCAATGGGTTGCTGCTACTGTGTAGCAATGCAGTACTGCGTCTGCCAGCACCCAGGAGACATACGGTGACAGTGAGCTGAGCGGGCTCCATGCTTGCCGTGGTATGGCGTCTGCACAGGTAACTCAGGAAAAAAGGCGCGAAATGATTGTCTGCCCTTGCTTTCACGGAGGGAGGGAGGGAACGGGGGCCTGACGATATGTACCCAGAACCACCCGCGACAATGTTTTAGCCCCATCAGGCATTGGGATCTCAACCCAGAATTCCAATGAGCAGCGGAGACTGCGGGAACTGTGGGATAGCTATCCATAGTGCAACGCTCCGGAAGTCGACTCTAGCCTCGGTACTGTGGAAGCACTCCGCCGAGTTAATGCACTTAGAGCATTTTCTGTGGGGACACACACACTTGAATATATAAAACCAATTTCTAAAAAACGACTTCTATAAATTCGACCTAATTTCGTAGTGTAGACATACCCTAAGAGTAATGGGTGGGCACAGGTTCTGCCCCTCCCCTGCCTTGCCACTGAGGAAGTGGCCAGACAATTGGCTGCAGAAGCCACTGAGGGAATGTGGCTGGACAGCAGACTTTATACTGTCCCCTCGAAGGGGGAGCACAGAGTGTGTCACAGCTGGAGGGCTGTGTCATGAAGAGGATGCTGTGGTCCTGGGAGTGATGTGGGTCCCTGGAGCAGAAGTGATGGTGGTGAAATGCTGCCAGAAGAGGGTGCACTGGCTAGCAGAGCTGATCCCTGGGACATCTAGCAGGGGGTGCCGCAGTGGTGAGTGGCACCCCATCACAGTGCTGCATTGGTGAAAAAGCACTTATTTGCTGACAGTTTTTGGTGAATCCCGTGTCCGTGATAAGGAGTACTGTTGCCCACTGTCATGACCAGCTCTGTCTAGATGAAATGGACAAATAATTGGAGTTCTCTCCTTTGGGTAATTTAAATTTGTTGATGCTGTCTCCAAATCCTTAAGTTGAAATGTTCAAGGAAAGGATGTGGTCTCCTCCTTTCTTTTATATAAGATTAGATGTAAAAGAACAGCATGTTTTAAGAGCAGATCATGTTTCAAGTAAAAGTTCTTGGTTATCCCTTTGTAATTGAACAGGCAGTCAGTCAGACCAAAGGGAGATTTGTTACTATCTGTAATACTTCAATGTACAGGTAAACAAAAGATAGATGTACAGCATTAAAGTAAGAGAAGAAAAACCATCAAGTTATTCCTTGAAAGAAACACTTGTTGCATGAAGGAAAAAGGTTGAAAAACAAATTACTACCATTACTTATAATTTGATAAGGATCAGTCTGTGCATCAGCATACAAGTCCTTCTCTAGTGTGTACATAGAGATGATTCCGACACACCAATAGTAAGTTCAAGATTTTTTTTCAGTTATCCTATATCTTGGGCCTCCGTCATTTACTCATGGTATCAGAGCAAGATTTCTGCAGTTAGACACTCCACACTTCCTTCCCTCGAGGCTTACAAGACAATTCATGTTCTTTCCACACAGTCCTTCTATTCTGTTCTATTTTATGTAGGTTTTTACACCACACTCATTGCCATATGTTGCTCTTTGCTTATGGGGAGCATTGCCTTGTGATCAGGGCTTAGGTGTTTCAACCTACAGTGTGGTTATTGGTGGGGGAACACTAGGCTCTGGCTCAGGGCCCTCTGAGGGCAACAAAAGGGTCTGACACAGAGGACCACGTTAAGGCTGCCCTCCCTGGGCCACTTCCTACCTCCCTTCTATTGTCCACAATTTGCAGTCTGCACTGGAAAGCACGAAGGGGGTCAGCTCACTGTATGGTGCCTCTTCATGGCCAGGTAGCTCTCTCCTTATCGGGGCAGCAGCCGCCTTCTCTCCTGCCTTGGCTGTCTGGCCTAGTCAGTTCTGAGTCCCCATCCTTCAGGTGTGGCCCATAAACAAAACACAGGGAATTAACCCTAATAAACTGGGTTAGTTTGTGAGAGGGGTAACTGCCTCCCTCTCAGGGTCTATCAAAAGAAGGTCCTCACTTCCCTCAGAGAGGGACCTTCAGGTAGTTGTGCATGGGAGAGACCCTGCCTCTCCTCATCCTTTCTTCATGAACATGCAGGTGAAGGTCCTTTCTCTTCCCTGGCCTGCCCACATGTGAGCTGGGCTACTCCTTTTTCATTCCTTCTCCAGCCTGTGCATCTCTTGCAGGTGTGGCATGGCACGGCTGGCTGAGTCTAGAGCAGCTTCTTAACCCCTTGTTGCCCAGGGTGGAGTTTGTATATCCCATCACACAATAGTATCTGAGTGCCTTCTAGTAGTGCATTAAGTAAGATGATTACACATCTGCCATGTGTTGTGTGTTCTCTCACACTCTCCCCAGAGGGGGAAGTGTGTGCAATTCAGTGTCTTGTTTTGGTAGTGTTTTCTTAAAAATAAATAAACCTATTGCTATGTATTTATATTAAAGAAAGCAGGTCAATGAAATGGACCTTGCACTTGGAGCAGGAAGTGGTGGGTTTTGTGATGGTCCTTAGTTCCTGGGGGAGTTCATGCCACAGTCTGACTGCCCCCAGAGAAGGTTCTGTCTCTTGCACAGAGAGTTCCATTGTGTCAGAGGAGCAAAATTGTTGACCACAATCTTTTATGTATCCTGGGCCCAGGGCATGGAGAACTTTGAAGATAACGACTGAGGCCTTGAACTTTATTCTCAATTCTATGGGAACCCAGCATAGAGAACAGTTGTGACAGGCTCATAATAGCCTGTGTTGCTGAGGAGCATTTTGTACTAGTTGTATTTC